TATTCTAAATTTTATTTTTTTAATTTAATAAATTATAAACCTTTAATACTTCTGAATAGAAGAAAAATCCTTCCTCTTCCTCTTTGTTTTATACGTTTCTCATCAAATTGCTTCCACTTTGTCTTTCACTCAAAGAAGTAATTATGGATATTTATTTCTTATGCATTGATTACAACTTTTCAATGTTAATTGATAATTCTTATTAACAAACAAATATTGCACGAGATCTGAACCCAATCATATAATATCATAAACCCTTCCTCTTCCTCTCTGCTTCATACGTTTCCCATCAAATTGTCTGCACTTTGTCTTCTACTCAGAGAAGCAATTATGGATGTCTATTTCTTATGTATTGGTTGTAGTTTTTCAATGCCAATTGATTTCAACTATCTTCTAATTTTTAAGACATTTTTCTTTTCAAAACTTCATTCTGATTGTCCTATTCCATCATACTCTCTATTTCTAAAAATACTCTCTCCATATATACATTGTCCACTTTTTGATTTGGGTACTTTTGTACTTCTAATATGAGGATTCACACTTTCTCTATCAATCATAGGAAAACCATTTTTAGGTAAGCCTGTATGAAGTTTTAATTTTAAAGGTTGGTTGTTTCAATGTTGATGTATAGTGAACATATTATTAAAAGTTTTTTCCTTTTTACTTTTATCTTCTTTTTAGAGGATATGGCTCAGAGATTTACATTACTAAAGGACATTGCAGCAGAGAGAATTGATTGGAAGATAAGAGTTTGTATAATAAGATTGTAGAGGCTGCCAGAGTTTAAGAATCCATTGCAAACAAATTCCTTGGAGATGATTTTGGTGGATGAAGAGTTTTTTTTCTCATAAATTATAACAATTATAAATTTCAGTGTTGGATAATATAGTTTTTTTGTTTTTGCTTCTGTTTAAAATTTTCATCTTCACCAAAAAATTATGATTAGTAAGGATATTATTTTCAGAATCAATTACAATGATCCAATGATCTTAGTAAAGACATTGATAAATTTTTTGGCACATATGTTGTGTTTTAGAAGCTAATGTATTTTTTTACCTCTACTCTTTTAATTCTTTTTACCTATTATAATTCAAATAATAACTTTATTTTAAAACAAATGAAATTAGTCTGATCCAAATCTTTCAATTTTTTCTTTTTAACCAAATCCTACAACTCAATATCTTTTTAAAAAAAGACTTACCGTCACTTTTGTATGTACAAATCATTTTGTTTAAGGCTAATTACTACAATAGTCATGTTGTATTCTTGCATTTTTAATTAATGAATTTCTATGTAGTATTGTCAGATATTTCCAATTTGACCTTTCTATTTTGCTGCCAACTCATTACATGTCCTTCACTGCAATTTTTTCTTTTGATAATATTGTTTTAACATGAATGAAAAGTATTTATACATAACTCCCAGCACTTTTTAACATGATTGATATTACCTTTTAAGTTGTTGCAGAATTTTAGATGATTGATATTACTTTTATTAAAGGTATTTATTCTATATAATATTTTTGTTTCAGCTCCGTTTTTGCTATAAAAGAGAATAAATATTAGCCTTTTTAAGTATATTTCTTTAGTTCTTGATTTTTTATTCATATTAATATATCATCCTTTACTTAATAGTCTTTCCTTAATAGTTATTAATTCTGGATTATATTCAAAATTTGTTTGCCATATAAGAAAATAGATATTAGTTTATTTCTTTAGTTTGTTAATTTGCTTATTCGATTCAATTAAGATATATGAAATAATGTTTTTAATCAATTTGTTCCTGTTGTGTTGTGTTGTTGAATTTCTACCTATTTTACATTTAAGATAATAGTTGTATTGATTTATACATTTCCTTTAGAATAAATGAGAATATAGGTGATATTTCACGAGTTATTATGTTGTATTGATTTAGGAAGTAGTTTTCTTTTTTTATTGTGTTATTATTAAATGTTACATTTATTTAAAATTTTTATTTTATGTTTTCAGTTTCATTTTGAAGGCTAAATAATCTCTGTTATTTGGTTTTCAATAGCTTTAAGATGTGTGGGAGAAATTGTTTTGACAGTTGCATCAAGTGGAATAGCAGCTTTGCTAATTTCCAGTGGCAAGATAGCACATTCTAGATTTGCTATTCCAATTAATGTGGATGAGGACTCTACTTGCAATATTAAACAGGGAAGCCATTTAGCTCAATTGATAATTAAAGCTAAATTGATAATATGGGATGAAGCTCCCATGACTCATAAATATTGTTTTGAAGCAATTGATAGAATTTTTAGAGATATTATGCGATTTACTAATATTGATAGTTTCAATCTCCCATTTGGAGGAAAGGTGGTAATTTTAGACAGATTTTACCTATAATTCCTAAAGGGACAAGACAAGATATTGTCAATGCCAGCATTAGTGCTTCTTATCTTTGGAAATTTTGCGAGGTTCTCACTTTGACAAAAAAAACATGAGACTTCAGACTACCTATTCAATTTCTAATGCAGTAGAGATTAAAAAAATTTCAGATTGGGTGTTGAGCATCGGTGATGGAACTGTTGTTCAAGGAGATGATAAAGAAATGAACACTGAATTTCTTGAAGATTTACTTATAAAGAATACATTGACAAAAAACATGAGACTTTAGACTACCAATTTAATTTCTAATGCTGTAGAGATTAAAAAATTTCAAATTGGGTGTTAAGCATCGGTGATGGAACTATAGGTCAAGGAGATGATGAAGAAATAAACATTAAATTTCCTGAAGATTTGCTTATAAAGAATACAGGTGACCCTCTTTCATTAATTGTTGATAGCACTTATCCATCATTGTTGGGAAACATGACTGACCACACGTTTTTCCAACATAGAGCCATATTAGCACCAACAAATGAAATTGTTAACCAATTAAATGATTACATACTAACATTGATTCCTGGAGAATTAAAGTCATATTTGAGTTCAGATAGTACATGTTCTATTGAAGGGCATTTAGGTACACCTGATGATGTTCATACCCTTGGATTCCTTAATATTATCACTACTTCTAGACTTCTAAATAATGAGGTGAAATTGAAAGTTGGTGTTCCGATAATGTTGTTGAGAAATATAGATCAATCTTCTAGGTTGTGTAATGAAACTAGACTTATCATAACTCAATTGGGTAAATATGTTTTGGAGGCAAAAGTGATATCAGGTAGTAATATTGGACAAAAGGTTTTTATTCCTCGATTGTCCTTAATTCCATCAAATAAGAGAATTCCTTTTAAATTTCAACGTAGACAATTTTCAATAAATGTTTCCTTTGCCATGACAATAAATAAAAGTCAAGGACAATCATTGAAGCATGTTGACATCTATCTTTCACAACCTATTTTCGCAATATCTCGAGTCACATCTCGTAGTGGTCTGAAAATTCTTATTTGTGATGATGAGATAAATGGTTCAACATCTACCACTAATGTAGTTTATAAAGAAATCTTCCAGACTCTGACATAGGTAACTTGCATTTTTTTATAATAACATTATAAAAGGAAAATATGTCTACTTTAGTTCTAATTTTACCAATTTTTCAGGCATTTCGCCAAGTTTATTTTTCATGATAGATGTGTTCACGAGTCATTACAGAATTACTTTATAAGGTAAAAAGTTAATTTTGTTTCCTTCCTATTTGAATTACTACATCTTTATAGCATTTTAATATTATACCTCTTTTAAGTTAATTATAAGGTTTTTTTTCTTCAAGTTAATGCATTAGCTCATATTGTAGATGTTAATGATTTTGAAGCTAAGATACAATGCAATTTAATTTTCTTGATACTTGATATTATCATGTTTTTAATCATTTATCATTATCATTTTATTCATATATTCATATATTTTTCTTCATTGAGTTTAATTAATTTTCACAATTATATATATTAATTATTAAAATAAAATTTATTTACTATAATAATTTATTTTCCGTGGCAAAAGTCAAGTTATAATATAAAATTAGCAAAAATGAATATTTTTAATAAATTTTTATATAATTCAAATTTAATCGATATAACTATTATATTTAATAATATTATAATCATACTTATCAAATCTTAAATTATTTGAATTCTTTTAAAATATGTTATCTATCGACAAATATTTATATGTATTAATACTATTTTATATTTTATAATAAAATAATACATAAACTATCAAATAATTGTATATAATTTTATTTACTTGATCTAATTATTAATATTATTAAATATAATGATTAGATCAATTTAATTTATATTTAATAAAAAATTAAAATTATTATTTAATTATTAGGCACATAATATCAAGGATCTGATCCATAAATAAATAATTAACCATATATATATATATATATATATATATATATTAAGTCTTCTTATTTAATATACATGAATAAATTAAAAATAGTAATTTACAATTGTTATATTGTTGAAAAATATAATAAATATAAAAATTAATGTTTTTCATGTTGAAATTTTAAATTATTAAAATAATTGGGAAAATCAAATCAGTAATTTTTTAAAAAAAAATTAAATGAAATAATAATTATTTAATTTTTAAAAATTAAAAAAAATTAAAAAAAGAATAAAAGATGCAGAGAAGTTGAGTGACTCAAACCTGTAGTGGGTGGTGGTATTTGGAAAAATAATGTAAATGAGTTAAAATGTTAAAATAAAATAAAAATCTGTAGTAGTTATTATGTTTATGTTTTGTATAATACTTTTTGCAACCGCCCAGTAGGTGCCAAGCCCCCAAGATTCAGGGCATGACGACAATGGTGCATCTAACTACGGCACTTTCATAAATAAAGGAAAATATTCAATCTTTCTAAAATATTTTTTTATTAATTTTCTTATTAGTTATATAAAGTATTTTTAATCTTTTGGTATATTAAATATATTTGCTTTATATTATACTTTTCCTAAAATATAATTAAAAAAAAAGTCATAAGAAAATATAACATTAAATAAAATGAAAATCCATCGTGACGAATCTGTGAGATTATTACCGGAAACACATAATATTCTCTCTCACAGACAAATTGTGGCAAATTCTAAGTACACTCTCCAAACAAACAACTTTTAAGAGAGAAAGATCAAAGATGGGAGCTGGAAGTTTCCTCAAAGTGGTTCTGAAAAATTTTGATGTTCTTGCTGGGTATGTTCTACTTTTCTATCAAAACACTTTCCTTTTCTTTTTCTTACCTACCCACTCTTAAGCAACACTACAATCTGAATTTTTCTTATGTTCTTGCTGGGCAAGTTTTAATTTTTCCTACTTTTCTAACAAAGCAAATTCATTTTGTTGCTCTTATCTATTCACTGTATAACACGCCACTCTCTGTCTCGGAAATTATTTCTAAAACGAATTTTGATTATGTTTCCACAGGGCTTCACAAATCACAATCTTACAACAATGGATAAAATAACCAAAAAAATAAAATAAAATATTTCAGTGTGCTTTTTCTTTGTCTGTTAACTGATGATCCTTTTTGGCTATTGGGTTTCTTCTGCAGGCCTGTGCTTAGTCTTGCGTATCCTCTGTAAGTGCACACAGGACAACGTGTTAATGTGTTACTTTTTGTTTTTCAAGGATTAACGGTGTTTTTATTTCCTGAAAAAAGAAAAGTCAAATTTTGGTTTTAGTCTCTGAATTTTAAGACCAATAGTTTTTGCCCATGTATTCTGGGAAAAATCCAAAATACTAGTCCCTAAAACTAACATTTTTCTCCCGTGCAAAGATTAAAGTTTGGGTATTTCAAAAAGTATATGGGGACTAATTAATGGTTTAAAAGACGGGGACAAGATAATGGATGTGGCTCAGTTGGCAACATACATGCTGAGCTTGTAGGAAAACCTGGTTTTGATTTTGCAGAACATATCATTTTTAAGGGAATGTTTGAATACTTTTCTTAAAGCCTTTCTAGAAGTAAAAGAAAGGGAAAAATAAATAAATATTTTTTTCTATAAACTAAAATTAATTGGTACGGCATTTAAGCTAATATAAGACTATAGGAGTGCTTGTATAAATTAGTTAATTTTTGGAAAATTTTATTTTATTTATTCTTTAATTTTTTTTTCTCTTAAAAGTGTTTATTTATCCAAATAGATTCTATGTTCTAAGTGTGTTGAAATCCTGGACCGAGTATAGTCTTATAGTCAGCTCAAAGGATCGAACGTTGTAGAAATATATTGGAGTCCTACAAAAGAGCAAAAGTTCCTAATTACAGTGGTTGTAAAAAAGTGTGGAACAAAACTAAAAATACCACTAGCCCTTTTATAATGTTCTGATTCTTTTTTATTATTATTTATTTTGCTGGCTCTTATAACGTGTTAAGCAATAGTTTGAGATTAGATTAATTCATGCTTTGTGATTTCTTTGAATAATGCCTCAGATATGCATCAGTTAGGGCAATTGAGAGCAAGTCTCCGATTGATGACCAGCAATGGCTCACCTATTGGGTTCTCTATTCCTTGATCACCCTCTTTGAACTTACTTTTGCCAAAGTCCTTGAATGGTAATTTTGCCTTAACCTCTGAAACCTTTTTTTCTGGTTTTTCTTGTTGCTTACCTGATCTGGGTGCCCAATAAATTTGATGAAAAACATGAGATTTTGATGCGGAGTGGTTATTGTTACAAGGGTTGTAGCTTCTTTTGGATGTTGTTGATTTGGAGCTATAGGTTATGGCTAGAGCAATTTAAGAAAGAAATGTGTTTGTTTATTAGTGAAGTCTCATGGTAGCTAAGTTTACCAATATAATTCATACTAGATTGAACACTGTTTTGTAATGTTAGTAAAAGTGTTAGAAAACCTATATCTAAAGATCTACAGTTTCTGTTCTGTTTTACATGGAGTACGGAATCAGGACACAAATGAAATTGAATGTTGAGTTTGGTTTTGCTTTGAGTACTCTGTTTATTTGAGCTACAAAAGCCATATCTAACCTTGTCCATTGTATTAGTGTTCGAAGATGGACATCAAGACACAAATGAAATTGAATGTTGAGTTTTCCTTTGCTTTGAGTATTCTGTTTATTTGAGCTGCAAAATCTATATATTATCTTGTTCAATTTATTAGTGTTAGAAAATGCAGTCATAAATGTATAGTAGTAAAAGTTTAAAGTAAAGGGATTACTGTTGCATTGATAGACCATATAAGAACAATGCAAGTGTGCTTATAAAATAAATGTGAACTGTGATGCATTATCTGTGTGAGAAATGTTAGAAACATGCTCTCTAACACACTCCTTTGAACTTACACTTTCTTATAGATTGAAATTTATTAAACTTACAAAATTGTGTACGTCCTACATCTTATTTAATGAACTTCTCTTATGATTTTTGTAGTTCTCGATTAATTTTGACAAACAGTAGAGTAAGAAAGAAAGTGTATTGCAAAAACTCCTCTTATTTGTATTATATAAATCTTTGTATTGCAAAGAAGTGAAGAACACATTTTCTAACACATTTTTTCAACACGTTCTCTCCAATGAATTGAAATTCAAGTAAGTCCCATTAGTTTGGAAATGAAACCCACATATTCAATGATATACGACATGTTTGAAAATCCGTTTTTTCAATGAAAACATAAAATCACTCTTTCAAA